ACTATATTGAACAAGAGTGTTGATGGTGAACATCCTTGTCTTGTTCCTGATTTTAGTGTGAAGGATTTCAGTTTTTGACCATTTAGTATGACATTGGCTATTGGTTTTTCATAGGTGGCTTTTATCAGCTTGAGGTAGAGATTGTCTATTCCAGTTTTTGGCAGGTTTTATCATAAGTGTGTGTTGGATTTTGTCAAATGCTTTCTCTGCATCTATTGAGATGATCATATGGTTTTTGTCTTTGGCTCTATTAATATATTGTATTACATTTATTGAGTTGCATATGTTGAACCATCCCTGCATCCTTGGGATGAATCCCACTTGGTCAGGGTGTATGGTCTCCTTGACGATCTTCTTCATTCTATTTGCCAGTATCTTATTAAGGATTTTTGCATCTATGTTCATTAGTGAGATTGGTCTATAATTCTTTTTAAGTTGGGTCTTTCTCTGCTTTTTGGATCAAAGTGATACTTGCTTCCAGGAATGAATTTGGGAGCATTGCTTCCCTTTCAATTTCATTGAAGAGTTTAAATAGTAGTGGCAATAGTTATTCTCTAAATGTCTTGTAGAATTCATCAATGAAGCCATCAGGGCCTGGCCCTTGTTGGTAAGTTTTTAATTACATTTTCAATTTCATTGATATTGGGTTCTTTAGAATCTGTAGGTCTTTGTTCAACTTGGGTAATTCATGTGTATCTAGGAATCTGTCCATTTCTTCTGTGTTTTCCATCTTATTGGCACATAGGTTCTTGGAGTAGGTATTGATGATCCTCTGGATTTCTGCTTGGTCCATTGTAATTTCACCCTTTTCATTCCTAATTGCATTCATTTGGGTGTTTTCTTTCCTTTTTCTTTTTTTGATAAGGTTGGCTAAGGGTTCATCAATTTTTTTTATTCATTCAAAGAACCAACTCTTTGCTTCATTGTTTTTTTTTTATCATTCTTAGTCTCCATTACATTGATTTCTGCTCTGATATTTATAATTTCCTCCCTTCTAATAGCTTTGGGTTTGTCTTGCTCTTATTTTTCTAGAAGCTTTGAGGTTCATCATCAGGTTATTTGAGCTTGCTTTGTTTTCCTAATATGAGCATTCACTGTTGTGAATTTCCCTCCTAAGACTGCTTTCATTGCATCCCATAGATTCCCATATGTTGTGCTGACCTTTTCATTTAATTGTGGAAACTGTCTGATTTCCTCTTTAATTTCCTCTGTGACCTATTGGTTATTCAGAAGTGTATTCTTCAATTTCCATGTGTTTATAAAATTTTTGCTGTTTCTTTTGTTATTGATTTCCAATTTCATCACACTACGGTCTGATAATATACCGGGAATAACTTCAATTCATTTGCACTTACTTAAACATGTTCTATGAGAAAGTATGTGGTCTATTTTGGAGAACAACCTGTGTGCAGCTAAAAAGAATGTGTATTCTGATTTTGTGGGGTGGAACACTGTAAACATCTGTTAAGTTCATTTGATCAAGAGTTTGATTGAGTTCTAGTATTTCGTTGTTTATTTTCTGTCTAGTTGATCTATCTGTGACAGTTGGGTATTGAGGCCCTCCACTATTATTGTATTAGTGCTTATTTGATTTTTCATGTCTGTTGATATTTGTTTTATATTGTTGAGTGCACTAGTGTTTGGTGCTTATATATTTATGATTGTCATCTCTTCCTCTTGGATTTTTCCTTTTACAAGGATTTAGTGTTCTTTTTCTCTCTTAATCAGTGTTGGTTTGAAATCCATTTAATCTGCAAATAGGGTAGCTACTCCTGCTTTTTGGGGGGGTTTCTGTTGCATTGGAGTATTGCTTTCCACCCTTTATCTTTCTATGAGTTTCTTTTTGAATTAAGTATGTTTCTTATATGCAGTGTATTGTTGAATCTTGCTTTTTGATCCATTCTGCCAGTCTATTTCTTTTGATTGGTGAATTGAGACCATTAACATTGATGATTATAACTGATATATATTAACTTATCCTTGTCACAGCTTTTTCTTTTTGTTAGATTGTCTTCCTTTGTATTTAATTTTTTGTTGTCCCTGATAGATTCATTTTGCTGGGCTTCCTGGGGTTATGATCCTCATTGTCTTTTCCTAGGATATTGTTTAAAATTTTTTGGAGTGCTGGTTTGGTATTCATGAAGTTCCTAAGGTGCTCTTTGTCATGAAAGTATCTTATTTCTCCATCAATTTTGAAAGATAGTTTTCCAGGGTACATCAATCTATTTGGAGGTTATTTTCCTTTAGGGCTTGAAATATTTCATTCCATGCTTTTCTTGCCTAGTGGGTTTGTGTTGAGAAATCTGCTGTTATTCTGATGGGCTTTCTTTTGTATGTGATTTATTTCTTTTCCCTAACTGCTTGCAGAATTTTGTTCTTCTGGAATCTTAACTGTTATATGACTAGAAGTATTATACACCTTTTAAAAAAATCATTGCTAGTTGGAAACCTATGTGCCTCGTTTATCTGCATGTCAAGTTCTTTTCCCCTGGTTGGGAAGTTTTTTGCCATTACTTCTGTGAACAGTTTTTTTTTAATGTCATTTGCACTCTGTCTTGTTCTTCACTGACTCCAATCTGTCATGTTATTCTATTTTGCATCATCTAGAAGCTGCTGGATTGACTCATGGTCCCTTACTATTTTAATTTTAAAAAAAATTTTAATTGAGTTTATTGGTACATTTTAGGTATACAGTACAGTTACATTCATCATTGGGATCTTGTACCTTTACATGACAGGTCTTGGTCCTCATTGTTTCCCCTTGTCCCTGCCCTCCCTTCACTGCCTCCCTATCCTCCCCATTTACAAACACTTTATTTCTATTTTTTCATATTTTTTTCTTTTCCCTTATTCCCTTGGTCCCTTACTATTTTTTAAGAAGTTTTTCTTTTCCTGGTCACTAATCGCAATCCTGTCTTCTATATCTGAAATTCTGTCCTCACATTGGCTCATTCTGCTGCATAAACTTTCAGTGGAGTTTTTAATCTCCTGGATATTTATTTGCATTTGTATTATGGACTCCATTTGTTTCCTATGTTGTGATTTCATCATGTTCCTCAGCTCTATTTTTTAAATCTGTGTCTGCTCTAGATTTATTAGTCATGTCTTGCACTATGGACACAATCTCTGTTGTTATCTGAGAGATTATTTCTGATTTCATTTTTTTCTAGAGCCTCTTTTGTTGCCAGTTCAAGTATCCAGGTGATGGAACATCAGATTGTTCCCTTTGGGGAACAGATTGTGCCCTTTGGGGTTGCCTTATGTGATCTGGAAGTCTGGTTTTGAGCCTTGTTTACATGTCTTCCCATTTCAACAGATGCAGCCTGCTGTGAATTTGTTGAGGTGACTTTTTGCTCACCCAGTGGTTTTATTTCTCAGAAAGCCACCAAGAAGCCTTCTCTCTGCTGTTCACCGCTGAGTCAATTCCTGGGTTCAGAATGTTGACCTTCTGCATCCCTGCGCTTCCCTGCTGTCCAGGTAGGATTCTGGTTGTGGCCTGTGCACACTTGGGATGGCATCTGGGCATGCCTCTGCCTGGGGCCTGCCTCCTGACATAGCTGTTGTTGTTTGGCTGGGGGCTGTGCCTCCCCATTGCTGGTGTGTGAGAGGGCTTCTGGCTGGGGTCTGCATATACTTCCCAATGATATTTGGGCAGGCCTCTGGCTGTTCCTTGTTCATCTGTGCAGCTGTTTTCCAGATGAGCCTCTGGCTGGCCCTGCCCACAACCTTCTGGTCCCCACAGTCTTCTCCTGGGATCTGTGCACACCTTGGCTTCTTTTTAATGCTAATCTTTTCAACAACCATGCTATCTTTTGTGCCAACTTTGCAGTCACTTACTTTCTGGTGAAACTCCGAACTTTTTATACCTTCTGGTTCTGCTTTTTGTCCCTGATTCTCACTATAAATTTGGCTAGAAACACCAGCAATACATGTGATACAGCCTGAACACTGGGCTGCCTTGAAATTTCTTCTGCTAGATTAATCAGTCCACTGTCCTTAATCTCAGTCTCTTGCAAAGTTTCATGATATGGGCAAAATGTAGAAAAATTTTCTGTGAGAGTGTAACACGCATACATTCTAATCCAACTGAGCAGGACAGCAGAGTCCTTGTTACCAACCAAAGCCTCCTGAGCCTGGCTTTGATGCTCTGCATTCCAATCAGCATTTTGGTACTTTGAGCTCTGAGCTGAATCACCCATGAAGCTCTGTTTACAGCATTCTAGAGTATCTCCAGCTAGTATCTCAGAAGCTTTCCAAACTCTTCCTGTAAATCAGTTCCAGAGGCTTCTCATCTACATGGTCAGGTACAGTCACAAGAACAACCCCACTCAGTGCCAGTTTTCTCTATTAATCACTTTCCTGTCACTGGACAAAATACTTGAAGCCCACAACTTAAAAGAGAAGGGATTTATTTTGACTCACGGTTTTTAGAGAATTCAGCCAATAATCAGTCAATTCCAAGGCAGAAATAGCATGGCAGAAGGGAGGGTGGAGGAAAATTGCTTACTTTATGACACCCAGGAAGTAGAACAAGAGAGGAGCCAGGGGCTAGAATGCTCCCTCCCAGGTTACAGCCCCAGTGGCCCACCTCCAAGCAGGTAGCACCTCCTAACAGCACCTTTAGCTACTGAACTCATCCATGGATGAATCCACTGGTGAGTACAGCATCCCCACAATCCCATCACCTTCCAAACCTGAGTATCTGGGAGACATTTATTATGGTACTGGGGTTCAAATCTCATCAGTGTCACTTCTATCACAGAATATTTGGCAAATTATTTAATCTTCTTCTGTCTTAGTTTCTTTGTCTGTACAAAGAAGATAACACCTACTTCTAGAGTTATAAGAATGAAATTAGTAAGTACATATAAAGAACTTAGTGACTGTCATATAGAAAGAACTCAATGAAGTTATTATTATGTAAACATAATAAATATCACAAAACATTTTATTGATATAAAAGCTAAATTCCAGAGAAGGTAGATGAGTTTTCCAGAGACACAGAAGGTCAGTTGTGTATTTAACCCTTGAGGACAGTTTTCTCTGAGTCCTTCCCTAATATTTCTATTAGCATATTAATGTGAAAGTGTTTTTTCCCCCCACATATCTTCCTTGTCCTAGGAGGCTTTAATCATTTCAATATATTCAGTGAAAGTTTGATAATGTACATAAAGAGAGCAGAGGCACTGCAGGGTCCATGGTCTATGGCCTATCGAGTGTCCTCATTCATTCCAACTAACTTGAGGAAAGCCCTCTTCACATCCTTGTTCCGGAGGCTGTAAATAATGGGATTAAGAAATGCAGAGATGACATTGTAGAACAAAGCCAACTTCTTGCCATCTTCTGGGGAAGCTTCAGATCCAGGCCTCATGTACATGACCATGCACGGAATACAAAACATGGTGACCACAGTGATGTGTGAAGCACAGGTGGAGAAGGCCTTAACCTGCCCTTGAGTGAAGCAAATCCTTAAAATAGCCACGAAGATACAAATATATGAGGTCAGAATTAGGAATAATGGAATCAGAAGCAAGATAAAACCCAAAATAAAGTCCACTTGGTCATTGAGGGATGTGTCTGCACAGGCCAGCTTTAAGACAGCAGGAATTTCACAAAAGAAGTGGTTAATCTCATTGGGACCACAGTAGGGCAGACTCATTGCAAAGACTGTGTAGATGAGGGCACAGAGAAGACCACAAAAGGCAGAACTGACTGCAAGCAGGACACATAGAGTTTGGCTCATCTGGACCCCATAGTGGAGGGGAAAGCATATGGCAACATATCTGTCATAGGCCATAGCTGCAAATACCCAGGTTTCAGTGATGCCCAGGGTCAGAAAAATGTACATCTGAACCACACACCCAACATAAGAGATGGTCTTATGCTCGCTCACTAGATGGACCAACATCTGGGGCACAGTAGTGGTGGCATAGCTGAGATCCAGTAGAGAGAGGATACTGAGGAAGAAGTACATGGGTGTGTGGAGATGCACATCTACTCTGATCAGGGTAAAAATGAGCCCATTGCCCAGAACTGTGAATAAGTAAAGGAAGAGGAAGAGGAAGAAGAGGATCCAATTAGTCCTGGGATTTCTGGAGAAGCCCATGAGGATAAATTCAGTTATGAAGCTATGATTTCTCCATCCCCGATTGTGCACGTGGCTTTCCTTCTGAGGAAAGAAGAGGACAAATTTCTGATTAATCATATAGTCTCCACAAGAGAATACTGTGTGGGATCCAGGGATGCACAGGCTGAAGCCAAAATATCCATGTCCACACCAAGGGAACATTCTATCCAAATTGGCCTACACAGCTCTGGGTACTTAGCAGGGATTCTAATAAATACATGTTGCTTTATCTACTTTGTTGAACTAATTAGCCATAATAAAATTCCAAAGTTATAGCAATGGGAATTTAATAGAGAAAAAGTTTTGCTTTGAAGAAAACACACACACACACACACACACACACACACACACACACACACACACACCACAGGACACATATAGCACAAGCCAGTCAAAGTCAGAACTCTAAGGAAATACAAAACATTTTGCAGTAAAACAAAAGGTCCGTAATTTCAAAGTCATTATTTCCAATGTAATCAACAATAATAGATGTTGCAAAGAATAGTATGAATATAAAATAGGAAGAAAAAAATGCAGTTTCTTCTTTGCCTTCTTTCTCTATGATGCCATACTTTTGAAAACACCTACCATAAATTTCCAAAAAAGGAAATATTTGAAAAAAATGTTGTTTTGGGGAAGAGAAAATAATCTCTTCTGTTATTCCCGCATCTGCCTTTTCAGCCCTACCAGCAGTGGTTTCAACTGTAATGAAGACACTGGCAGGTAAAGATGACCACAGGAACATTGAAACCCAGAAAAAATCTTAGCCCTGGCACAAAAACATGACACATATTTACCTGTATGTGCAACATTTACTTAAAAATGAGTAAGGCATCCTCCAAAGCTATGTTGCTCATAAGAAAGAAAGAGTTGAGCGTGGGTGGGGATAGATCTTCACTTTATGAGATCAGCATCACTATTTTCCTTATGAGATCATATTCATATTCAGTTTGAAACCTTCCATGGTTTCTTGTATCATTCAGAGAAAAAGGCAAAGTCCTTCATTAGTTCCCTGAAATTACCTTCTACCTCTAACTCTTACCTGTTTCAGCCACACAACCTTTTTATGTTACTAAGTCAAGGCATAGTTCTATTTCAGAGTGTTTTGGACTTTCTGTTCCCACTGCTAAAAATTTTTTTTTCTCCGAGTTTCTTTACAGCTTCTCCAAGTATTTGCTCAAATGTCATTTTCTGTAGTATACAATGTTTCAATTGTCAGTTTCTCTCATAAAAACACAGAAATTTTTATCTTCTTTTATTTATTTTTTTTTGGTATCGGATTGAACTCGGGTACTTGTGCTTGCAAGGCAGGTGGCAGAAACTTTATCTTCTTGATTCATTGCAAATCACCAGATTATAGAAGAGAGTCTGGCATGTGATAGGCATTTATAGATGTTGGATAAATTAGCTGAGTCTAGACTGGGCCCTGAGAGCGGGATGGCAATATTACTTATCCTGGAGCTATCCTTGACTCTGAACTTTACTGCCTCTGTAGCTAGCCACGGTGCTGACCTCCTTTTGTGGGTTTTCTCTTGAATTTATACAGTTCTTAACAAATTTTGAAACAGACACTGGTTCTAACTACTTATACCCAATTTCCACAGTGATCCCACAGTGCTATAAAGTCAATACCCACCATTAAGTGCATCTTAAAACTAAGGAAACATATTTATCAGGGTTAAATAGAGTCCAATGGTTGTCAGAATCTTGCTTTTAATTCTTGGACCTGCAATTTAAAAGGGAAAATGAGAAACTAGACTTGTCTACCTACAGAGGAGAATTTATCAAGAAAGGACTGGTGAAATCATGCTATATTAGAAGGAAGACACTGAGATCATTTAGCTTAGAAACTTAAGAGGAACTTGAGATATCATGAAATATTCCAAAGATTGCCATGCAGAAAAAATAGAAATGTGTACTGTATGTTTCCAGAGCGAAAAATAAAAAATAACTGGTGAAAGTTACCATGGAAAACTTAAGCTTAGTTTCCAAAATATTAAAATACATCTGGCGATTCATACCTCCCAACAATGGAACGAGTTGCTGTTGTGAGGAGAGTAAAATAAAATGCTAAGCTCTTCACTTTCAGAAGTGTTTGAGCATAAACTAGAAGGCAGTCTCACTCAGGAGTACTCTCATTGCTTTGATGTGAAGTCAGACTGGACAATTTTAAAGTATCTTTTACCACAAACATCCAGTGACATTAAGATTCAAAGAATCAATAATTTCGGGGGTGAATTTTCAGCGTATACTCGACCTTATGGCAAAGTCAAAATAAAGTAATATGGCAATAAAAGGAAATAAGGAATCTTGAAATAAAGCAAAAATCTAAAATTTGTCAACTGTACTGTGAAATTTAAAAAGATAATTTAAATTTGCATTTTCTTGTTTTTGCAATAAGGGAGCTTGCTTTGGGGCTACGATTGGTTCTCAGGAAGCATTACTCTCATCTCTTTACAGTCTCCGTGTCAACCCATCCTCATAGGGGAAGGGAGAGCTTGAGAAAAGAGGGCTACAGGCCCACAGGAGAGCTGTAATAGAGCCTTTTTTTCTGTCTAAAATTCTTTATCCTTGTCTCCTTTAAGAGGATATTCCAAGAACCAAACTAGGTAAATGTAGACCACTTAAAAAAATTGTCAATATTGATAGTTGGCAACTGTACTTTAATCAGAGGAGAACTCTATGCGAAGCAAAACGTAGTGTGGACAAGGAACTCCACCAAAGAGTGTTTTCACCAAACTTTAATAAGAGCTTCTTTCCTGGTACTGTATGTCCTGTTCTAGCCTCTCTGATCCAATCTGTCCTATACACTGTCAGAATGACCATTAAAAAAGCAGAACTGGCCGTGCTATTTCCCTGAATGAAAGCCTTTAAAGACTCTCAGATCTCTGACCATAGCACCCAGTACTTTTTGGAATTTGATCATTACCTACCAGGTATTCTACCCTTTTTCCCAGCAACTCTCATTAACCTACATGTTTTCATATGACTTGCTAAGTAGGAATAGTTTTGAATTTTAACAAGGTTGAAATATATCATCCATTTATGTTTGTGGCTGCTTTGCCCTCCAACAAGAGTTGAGAAGTTGTTACAGATAACATATGTGTTCTGCAAAACCTAAGATATTTACTGATTCCTTACAGGAATGACTTCTGACACAGCTCAAGACAAACCAACTCATTCACCCTTCTTCAGCTGCTCTGGATACTTTCACAAAGCTGTGGCACATGAAGTAGTACATATCTGAGGTCAAAAAATCGGCTTGAATCATCTAGCTTTGCCATTTGCCAGCAGCACAAACCAGAGAAAGTCATTGTCCTCATTAAGCTTCTATTTGATCATCTTTAAAACTGGGTGAATAACTTATACCTTGAAGGCTTGTGTAAAGATAAAGTGAGATTTTTGGATATACCTAACACTGTGGCATTAAATATCATTTATTATTATTACTGTTATTATTAAACTATTCATCTAGTTGAAATGTTATCCCGTTTTCTCCTTGGTGAAATTTTAATTGTGGAAGTCTTCTGTGATTCCCACCATACTTCTCCTTCCTCTGTCTTCATTACACCTTGAATGTACAGTAGCCCTGGACTTATGAACATTTGAGCTGTGAACTTTCACAGGTGTACTGTATAAGACTCACAGTTGTACTGTATAACAAGGCTCACTTTGTTGGATTACAAATGAATTCAAACTCATTTGTAAGTTGGGGATTTACTGTACAAGAACCTTGTCTTTTTCTCCTCTTTATCTCCAACTTTTAGTAAGGCTATGAGCAGGAGTTAATAAATATTGGATTAACAAGTCTATAAAGTTATGTCCATAGTATAAGAAGAATGAGTTATTTTAGAAGGACGGACTCTCAACCCAATGTGTCGTCCATTTGTTTCTCTTTCAAAACTACTTCAAGCTCCTTTGATGATTCTGACCAGTTACCTACTCCTATCACAACTGAAATCCTCTTCTTGGAAATTTGTTAACTAAAATGAAAAAAGCAGGAGGAATCAAGAACATATAGGTAGACCTACATGTTATCTTATCTCCTCAAATGAGCTTCTCCTCTAGTTCTAATTTGTGTCCCCTGACATGATATTAAGTTGGTGGGGAAAGGGACAGGAATAGAATAAGTTTTTATTATGCACTGACTATGAGCTAATTACTGTACCTCAAAGATGGGACAATGGTTAAGCGTATGGACACTAGAATCAGACATCAGTTCTAATCATGACTCTGATGCTAATTAACATGATGGTTCCGGGAAAGTTATCCAAAGTTTATGTGTCTACATCCTCTTCTAGAAACCAGTGATACCAGTACCTGTCTCAAAGGGTGTTTCTCATGATTAACTGAAATATTATGTGTAAAGCTGTTTAAAGCTGTTCCTGCAGGGTTGCGTTCAAAAAGAGTAATTATTACTGCTCTATTATTTTATCCTCATGAGAAATCTTTTGTTTTATTTTTATTGGTATATGTTTGTTGTGCGTAATAATAATACTCATTGTGGGAGTTTGTACATGTGCACAACATACTTTAATTCATTTTTAATCCCCTTTCCCTCTCCTCCCTCCCCCCTCTGCACCCCACATATATATAAAATATGCATGTTGTAGTATGTGATGGTCACGCTCTTCATAGGGACTAGGTGCATGTGCACAACACTTCATGACCCCCCTTTTAATCTCATTTCCTTCCCCTCCCTCTTCTCTCCATCTATAAGAAGTCTTTTTTTAAAATTCTGAATTTTTATCAAAAAATAAAATCAAGACTCAGAGAGGTTCACCCAGTGTGGCACAACTATCAGATGACACAATTCCGATCCGTCTTTCTCCAAAGACCTTTCTTCACTAGACTGTGCTCATTCTGCGCTGTCCCACAGGCAACACGGCCAGAGTTATGGTTGGCTGTGAACTGATGGGTTAGCCTTCTCAGATGCCTGGTCTAATCCTTCAAGTCCCCAGCTTTATCCTTCAAGACCCTGACCTAGCCTTCCACCCTGATCCCAGGCCTAGTACACACGCTGCCTCCCTACCCGCGTCCTGCAACTGCCTCAGACAGGTCCAGCATCCATTTTCTAGGTTGAAGGGAGCCCCCTTTCAGCCACTCTCCGGAAGTTGCTGCATTTCAACAGCTCCCTGACAAATACTCAGGTATTTTATTAATGAGGCTCATGGGTATTAGGACTCTAACAGTCTCTCAGGGTGCAGTCAAATAGGATCCCAGGGTCACCTCAGGAACCTGCCAGTCCTGAGGGATGTCATTACTCGTGAGAAGTTTCGGCGACGTGTCAGGA